GTCTCTGATTTGGCGGTTTATTTTTATTAGCTTGCGTAAGTGAAGTTTTATATTCCTGCTTCCCATCTGCCCAAAAGGCACACTAGGTTACTATCCACCATTGTATTGTCACATAATTGTATATGGAAATTATGCAACTTCCACTGGTTGCTTCAGCAGCCAGTATATTTCTGTGTGGAAGTATCAGAGATGGGCATTCTATAATCCCGATTTTAAGCCCTATCTAGGATGTAATTGCCATTGTCACGGTTATTTTTCTCTTACCTAAGATGCTTATAAATGATCCATGAACATATAATCTTTGGTGAAAGTGAGGAGCAGGGAGTTAGAGTATAAGTTTTCTTTCTTTCTTTCTTTCTTTCTTTTTTTGAGTTGGAGTCTCACTCTGTCACCCACGCTGGAGTGCAGTGGCACATTCATGGCCACTGCTGTCTCAACCTGCTGGGTTCAGGAGATCCTTCCGCATCAACCTTCCAGGTAGTTGGAACTGCAGGCATGTGCTACCCTGCCCTGCTAATTTTTTGATGTATTGTAGAAGCGAGGTCTCACTAAGTTGCCCAGGCTGGTCTAGAACCTCTGGGCTCAGGTAATCCTCTCACCTCGGCCTCCCAAAGTGCTGGGATTACAGGCTTGAGCCACCGTGCCCAGCCAAGCATATGTTTTCAAAAGTTTATCTTGTGCTTAAGTTATTCATCAAAAGCTTGCCCCCTTTACAAACAAAGTATTAGGAGAACATAGATTTAATTTCAAACTAATCATATGAAATATATTAGACTGGACCTTTTGAGAACAAAGTTTAGGGGACACTCTTAGATAAAGGGAATGTTATGAATCTTTCCTTTTGGCATGTTCCAGGAAATGTTACAGGCATTTTGGCATTTATATTACAAGAAAGAGGTAATATTTTCCCTGTTTTTGTAGATAATGAAACCAAGACTTAGAAAAGTTAAGTAAATTGCTGAAAATTACACAGCTAGTAAGTAGTAGAGCTAAGTTTTGATTATTAATATGTCATATTCCAAAACACAAGAGAAGTCATGGTCTAAATAAACAGAAACTTTTAAGAATTCTCTACTTAAGATTTTGAAATTTTGTTATTTTAACCTCAAAATAGTTTGAATATCCATTCATCTGCTTAGAGAGTTTCTTTTTTTTACTCTCTTTTATCTAGTTCTGTAGTTCTCAAACTTTAATGTGCATTCAAATTACTCTATCAAATTATATACAAAAATGTTACCATTTTATGAGTTTTCTAGAATACTTTTGATATTATTAGGTTTTTACCTTGGGCATTGTCATGTTTAAAATCTGACAATGAATTGTTATGGGACCACACTCTTTTATTTCTACTCCATTACAGTGTTTCTCTGATTTTTGACAAATTTTCAATCCTTTTGAAGAAATGTAGTAGTAAGGAATATGCTGGGTAAGAGTTTGGTCACCAAGTTTCTAGGACTTTCGACTTTAAAGGAGTGTGACTAATGTACCTGAAGAGTTTAAATTCTTATTACAGTGAGGAAGATGACTTCTCAAAAGATGAAGTTAAGCACAGAAGTTTATCTAAGACAGCAGCTCTCAAACTTTAGAATGCATAAAAATCACCTAAAAAGCTTGTTCTAAGTGTATGTCCTTGAATGGGAGTTCTGATTCCGGTAATAAAAAATACCTTATCAGACTATGTCTATTTCAGATAACAATTATAAACTCTGAGCAACACACACACACACACACACACAATTATTTGAAGGTATCAGAAAGTGGTCAAAAGCAGGCAGAAGTTGAAGAGGGTTCTAACCTTTAGTGGAACCACTCATTGGGTGAGACTCAAGTTTTATGAGGATATTCCACTGAGGGCAATACTCACACCACATAGCACGGGGCAGATAGACGGTGAGGAAAAAGGTCCAGTGCTTTTGACTTAAGGTAACAGAAGGTGGAGTTAAGAGCTAAAAGAATTTCTGAAAAATTAAAGTAGGGAAATTTTAGAACAGAGGACTCCAGATATCCTAAGATGCATTATTCACAATGGCCAGATTACAATAAAAAATTACTAGGCATATGAAGATATAGAAGATAGTTTTCAATGTCAAAAGGGAATACAGCCAATACACACAGATCTTTAGATAACTAAAGTTTAAAATTAGCAGAAGAATACATGTAAAGTGGTCCATATATTCAAAGAAAAATCAAAATATTATAACAATAGTTGAACAAGTTGGAAAACTTTATCAGATAAATGGAAGCTTTTTATTTTTTGTGACAATTGTCTAGATTCTTATGCAATTTATAATTACTTCGGTAAGTTGTCATAATTTTGCCTTTGTGATATATTCAATTTCTTAACATAGAAGGGTGATAAAAACATGATTCTTCAACTTCATCAATGATCAAAGCAGTACATATAGAGATATTTTCCACTCATCAGAATTACAAAAATTTAAAAAGACTTCTAATCTCTAATTCTTTAATGTCCCTAATAAGTAAACGCACAGTAGGATGACCTATTTCATATCCAACACAATAACAAAAATTAAAAACATTTAAACATTCTATGTTGGTGAGAAAATCAGCATTACTTAAATTGGCTGTGTTTTGAGATATATCTGGAAGTAACTATCAAACTTTAAATTCACATGTTCCTTAATTGAGCAATTTCATCTCTAGAAATCTCTTGAGTGATTTATTTTGATTGTCCTTAAGAATCTTCAGAAAAAAATGAATTACTTGTATATGTGCATAAAAGTATATGTAGAAATATACTCACTGACAGCAATACCTTAAGATAAAGAAAAACCAGAAACTACCTAAATGTAGAATCATGGGATAGTGTTGAGAGAAAGACTTTCAAGTTTATCTACATATGGTTATATATTACTAGAATCTTTAAGAACAAGAATTAATAAATCATATAATTTAGGGGGAAATACATTTCATTATTATAAAATAATTAAAACATTTATAGTGTTTTATATTTAATTATCAGTTTTTATACAACTTAATCCATATCTTGTTGCATACTGTGATCAGAAGAACAGCTGGTATAATCACTGCCATCTTCTTTTAGAGGTGATAACTGAGACCCAGAAAGGTCAACAACCTTACCAGGTTATACAGCTTAGAAAATGTTAGAGCTTAACCTTAAACCCATTTCATCTAGCTCCAAATCCTAACGGTAGCTTTCCTTATATGTGGTCTTTGAAATGTATCTCATTAATAAAACTGTTTGTTTATTAAAGGGTTATTACAAATAATTGGTATTTCTTCAAAGGTTTTTGTCACTCTGCTATAAAAATTAACAATTGAATGGATTATGTCTAGAAACAAACTAAATTTATAAGGTACAATTGGATTCAGTTGTTTCTTGGAGGTCATTAAGCTTTTCTTGATTTCAAGGTTGATCTCAAGATGATTACCCTGTTTCTCATTCAGGAAGAAAGCTATCAAACCACTAGAAATGAGCTCCTAGAAGATGGGAACTATTTTAAAAATCAAATGAGCATTCGGGAACTAAGGAGCTAGAGCATCTGAAATTGCAAATAAAAATCACTGGGATATGCTAAACAGAAGATTGGAGACAGCGAAAGAAAGAGACAACTTCAAAACAAATTAATGGAATGTTTCAGAGAACCAGAGCAAATAACGATTAAAACCAAAAACATTCTCAGTGACCTGTAGGACAATATCAAGTAATCAAAAACATAAAACAAAAATTGATTTTTATGCTCAAATTAGATCATCAAACACATTAGAGGTGAATTTTTAATTTATAAATTCTATCATTCAGCAAAGATTCTTATTGATAGTATGACCATCAATATTTTTACCCTTGGATAAAGCTATTTCTTACTGATAGATTAGACAATAAAAGAACTTCCACTTGCTTTACTGGTTAACAAAACAGACGTCATTATTGCTTGGCTTGACTTTTCCCTCCAGCAGAAAATTCAACAAAACTTTTGTATATTTTTCTTTTTTCTGGAGGAATGTGGAGACTTGTTAAAGGAAGTCATATCACTTTCAACTTCCTTTAATGGAGACTTATAGTTTTGAGATCTAGATCTACTTTCTGGCTTGAAAGTACAGTTGATAATTGTTTTAGTATAATAGATATTGGCATTAATGATCTGTCTGTGTTCTGGCTAGTTGATATCTCTCAATATGTCTTCAACAAGAAAAAAGAAATGCATTTTATACAAAATTATATCTAACAGGTTGGCTGCTATGCTATTTGATTCCCAGATACCATGATACCATTGGGTGTTTGCTCCAGAATCTTCCATGCCTGGCCATAGAACCCAGGGTGAGTTCTATTAAAAGACTTACTAAATCAGTAAGCCTTTTAATGCCTGTTCAGTCAACATCTTCCATTCTGTCCAGGGTGGAGTACATCTAACAAAAGTTTGGCAAACTTCACTAGGTATTAAGGTGAGTCCTGCTCAGACTGGTGGACCTTATCATCCTGGTGCATGCAACAGTAGGCAATACCTTGCATACATTTTATAGCTGAGCTCGTGGGTCCTTCCCTTGCAGGCATTAATGTGCCTGTATGCAAAGGTTTAAGCCCAAGCCCCAGAAGCCAGTATAGGTTGTACTAGATCTTGGTAACCTGGTCATCATCACATGACTTAATGTGGAAAAAAACTGTGTTGGACTTTGAAATAGGAATGTTGAGTGGACAATTCTGTCAAAAAGATACAATTTATCTCACAAGGTTTATTGTTAGATCTTGGAAGACTTGTGATATTAAGAGGTTCATAAACGGAAACAGATCTTAAGAAATTGGAAGAAAAGGACATGACTCCATATGGTAAGCTGGCATTTCAAATAAAAAAAATGTAAAAATTAAAAAAAAATTTTTAGAGAAGCATTTGTTCACGAATACTTTTTCTGTTTTCTCTGATTTAAAATCATCTTTTCATCTGCTTTGATTTTTTTTTTCTGCAACTAAACTAGAATTTTTTGTAGTTTCCCCCCCCTAAGACATGCAACGATGTTCTTTCTTATAAACTACTTTCTCTGATTTTCTTTTCAGCTTGCTTCAAGGAAATCCATGTGTTCATAATGCTTGCTTGCAGTTTGCCCCATACCAAATGGTTGTTTAATCCAAATATCTGAGCAGCAAACTGAGTTGATCCTTCTGGAGAAAGTACGGTTGAACAGTTGAGACCACTGAGCTTCAAAGAGAAGACCACACATCCTGAGCTCCACAATCTGGTTAATGGGGGGACAGCTGATAATTAGATATGCAGTGTTCCCAGACATCACTGGTCCCAAACCACTGCTTCTGCCACAAATACAGTAGGAATGCCATCACCTTCATACTCAGCTTTAATCCTCAGAGTTTTGTCTGGTCCAAAGTTCACATGGAAAGCCAAAATTCCCAAAGGCCTTCTTGATTTTTTCAGTGACTGACATCAGAGTAGAACCCATCAATACCACAACCCTGCACTGGCTTTCTGATTTCAAAAGCAACTGTACTCCCTCTGCAGCCCACTCAAAGTTTTTCTTACCATCTGCAGCCCTTTGGGAGTTAGTTCTTTGAGACCCAGTAAGACTGTTTGTCTTTCTGTTGGCTTTGATCTCCTGATGGCCAGAGTCTCCAGGAATTGTTATTAATCACATCAGCAAGAACAATTTCTTTGGTGGTTACAACAACACCGAATTCAATCTTCATATCAACCAATGTACAGTTCTGGGGCAACCAGGATTTCTCCAGTATTTCAAAAATAGCCTGTGTACCATGATTCATAATATCCACTTCAGTTTGGCCTATAGCAAGTCCAGCAAAACAAAATTTTGCAGCGATGAGCTGTTCCTCAGACCACTGTGAGTCATTATTGGTATATCCTTGAAAAGCTTCTCTACTTTAAGTGGATAAAACTTTACCCTTCCGTGACACTAGGGTTTCTTTTTAAAAATTTTTTAAAATTTTAAAGATGTGGAATACAATTCAGATTTAGGTATACAAGTGGTCATAGTACAGGTAAAGTTTGAGCCTCTCAGTGTCCCACTACTGCCGATCCCTTTCTTACTGTATTATGGTAAATGTTCAGGGTTCACTTATGAGTGAGAGCATGTGGTACTCAGTTCTTTGTTTCTGTGATAGATTACTAAGTATGATAGACTAAATTCAACCAAGTTGATGCAAAGTCCATAATTTTGTTGTTCTTTATGGTTGCATAATATTCCATCATGTATATGTACCACATTTTTTTATCCTGTCCAGTTTCGATGGGCAGTATGGTTGGTTCCATGTTTTTGCTATTGTGAATAGTGCTACAATAAACATGCGTGTGCAGATATCTTTTTTGTATAGTGATTTAAGTTTCTTCAAGTATATTCTCAGAAGGGGGATTGCTGGGTCGTATAAAAGATCAATTTCCAGTTTTTTTTAAGGAATCATCACACTGTTTTCCACAGAGGTTGAACTAGTTTGTATTCCCACCAGCAGTGTAGAAGTATTCCCTTTTCTCTGCATCCTCACCAGTATCGTTTGTTTTTTGTTTTATTGTTATTGTTTTTTTTTTTTTTGAGTTGGAGTCTCACTCTGTCACCCAGACTGGAGTGCAGTGGCCGCTCCCGGCCACCACAGCCTCGCCTGCTGGGCTCCGGCGATCCTTCCTCCTCAGCCTTCCGAATAGCCGGAATTACAGGCATGCGCTACCACGCCCGGCTGATTTTTTGATTTATTGTAGAGATGAGGTCTCGCTGCCCGGGTGGGTCTCGAACCCGCGGGCTCAGGCAATCCACTCACCTCAGCCTCCCAATAGGCGCAGGATTACAGGCTGAGCCACCGAGCCCGGCTGTTTTTTGTTTTATTAATGATGGCCATTCTTACTGGAGTTAAGTGGTATCTCAGTGTGGTTTAATTTGCATTTATCTGATGATGAGTAAGGTTAAGCATTTTTTCATATGTCTGTTGGCTGTTCATGTATCTTTTTTTGAGAAGTGTCTATTCGTATCTTTTGCCCACTGTTTAATGGGGCTGTTTGTTTCTTTCCTTTCAGCAAGTTTGAGTTCCATGTAGATCCCGGATATTTGATATGCAGTTGTCAAATATTTTTTCCCAACCTTTGGGCTGTCTCCCCACACTCTTGATGGTTTCTTTTGCTTTGCAGAAGCTTTTCAACTGAATGAGGCCCCACTTGTCAATCTTATCTCTTATGGCATGGATTTTGGGGGTTTTGATCAGGAATTGGTTGCCTAGTCTATTTCCATAAGGGTGTCTCCTGTGTTTTCTAAGATTCTTAATGTTTGAGGTTTTACATTTAGGTCTTTGATCCATTTGGAGTTGATCTTTGTGTTTAGTGGTAAGTAAGGGTCCTGTTTCATCCTTCTGCAGACACCGGATTTCTTCTGAGAAAAGAACCATTTACTGTTTTCCTACAAACTCATTCAGTTGGAATCATTTCACACTGGGGCACAGTAAAAGCTGTTTCCCCACATTTTCTGATGAAAGCAGTTTTGATGCCTGCTTTCTGTAACAACTGAAAGATACAGTTGGTAGTTTTATTTGAGATTGCAGCTTTTCCTTCCAGGTGATTCTTTCTCGTTGCATTTCCTGCTATAATCTGGTCTTTGGACTGCAAGAGGACTTTTCCTCAACTATCTAACAATTCATAGACTTGTTTTACCCTCATACAGTTTTTTTGTTTGTTTGTTTGTTTTTACCAAAGTTCTGTACCTCAGCTGTTGCCATGATCCTGAGTGGGCTGGGGGCAAGCGACTACACAGAGAACAGAGGTAGAAATCTCAAATAGTTGATTCTAATCATAAGCATCTCAAGTGAAACTTATTGGTTGGCACAGACACTCTCTGTTCCAGAACCTCCTACTTCACTTTGGCCATGAGTTTCGTCACTCCTACCATTACACTCAGGCCTTAACATTTGATTATTTTTAATTTTAAAAATTCTTTTTGTTTTTTTAGAGAGAGGGGGTCTCACTGTGTTTCCTAAACTAGTCTTGAATTCCTGGGCTCAAATGATTCTCCTGCCTCAGCCTCCCAAGTAGCTGGGACTACAGAGCATGTGCCACCATGCCTGGTCATTTGGTTCTTTTTATAGTTTCTATTTGTTCATTTATTACAAGCATATTTTCCTTTCTGTCCTTGAGCATAGTTATAATAGCAGCTTTAAAATTCATATCTGCAAAAATCAGCCGGGCGTGGTAGCACATGCCTGTAATTCCGGCTATTCAGAAGGCTGAGGCGGAAGGATCGCCGGAGCCCAGCAGGCGAGGCTGCGGTGGCTGGGAGTGGCCACTGCACTCCAGTCTGGGCGACCAAGTGAGACTCCAACTCAAAAAAAAAAAACAATAAAATTCATATCTGCTAAGTTCAACATCTGGGTCATCTTGGGGATGATATCAGCTGATTATCTGATTATCTTTTGTGTATAAGTCTCATTTTCCTTTTTCTTCATATTTCTAGTAATGTTGGATGACATCTTGGCCATTGTGAATGATTCATTAGGGAGATTCTGTGAGTTTGCTACCTTGTGGTCTCTCTTCAAAAACAACAACGACAAAAACAGAAAAGCCAGACACACCTTCAATTCTGTTCCCTTTATTCAACTGTTGACTCTCTTATAGTTTCTGTCTGCTTTCGGTTATTCTTTAGGCCTTTAGGAACTCTTTTTATATTTTCTCTAGAATGTATAGTTATTTGAGAAAGATTTGATTAAGTAGGAGCTAATTTTCCATTATGAGAAGCAGAGCTCCATCTTTTTACTTTTGATCCTTCTTTCTTCCTCCTTCCCTCCGTCCCTTCCTTTCTACATCCCTCCCTCTATTCCTCCCTCCCTCCCTTCCTCCTTCTTCCTCTCTCTCTCTCTCTTTCTCCTTCTTGTTTAGGAACAGGGTCTCACTATGTTTTCCTGGAAAACAGTGGCTATTCACAGGCATAATTAAAGCTCACTGCAGCCTCAAACTCCTGGCCCCAAGGGAATCCTCCTATCTCAGCCTCCCCAATAACTGGGACCACAGATGCATGTCACTGTATCTGGCTTGACTTTTGATCATTGTGTGTCTTTAATTTTCTTCTTATGCACAGCATATACTTGAGTCTAGCTTTTTTATTTATGCTAATGATCCCTGCCTTTTAATTGGGGCATTTAGACCATATATAATTTTTAATATGGTTAGCTATATTAATTGTGTAATTCTATCACACTTTTATTTGTCTAATATTTGTTCTCTCTGTTCTTTGTTCTTTTTTTCCCCAGCCTGGCAATGAAGCCTATCACTTTTTATTGGTCAAAAGGTGTTTTATTCTGCCTTCCACTTTGAAGAATATTTTTGTTGAATATGGAATTATAGGTGTAATTAGAAACAAAGCTACTGAAGCATACACATACCTATTTTGTATGAAAAGAAGTGTTCATTTCTCTTAGGTAAATCTCTAGGGATGGGATTGCATGCTGGCTCAAATGATAAACTTACCTTTTTAAGAAACTGTCAAGTTGCTTTCCAAAGTGACGGCACCATCTTGCATTCCCACCAGTCATGTGTCAGAGTTCCATCTGCTCTACAACCTCACCAGCAACTCTCCACACTGACATTTTCTAACTGTGCTGTGGGAAGAGTAAATAAAAGAATATAGTGACAATAATGTTGTAGAGTGGCTGTAAAATGCTTTTAAAACTATATAAGCACTAGATAATGTGTATAGATGTATGGTGGTATTTTTAAGGTAAGCAATTGGGTGAAACAGATTTAGAAAACACTTGAATTCACAGAAGATGTAATTAGGCCCCCTAAAAATCTTACAATTCTGTGTGATTCGGTTTCCTATAATCACAGTTATATGTGTACATTGATGAATCAATTTCTACATAACTAACTTTTGTCTTACTTTAAAGATTACAATCCCCCCAAAAAAGTTAAAAAGAGTCAACAAAAGACAAAAATCATCTATATTTCTATCACTCAAATTCAATTATTTATAGCATTTGGGAGTAATTCCTTTAATCTTTTATTCTTATGCATGTTTTTACTTCTTAGTAACTAATTTACATGAAGTTTTATATCTTTATTTTTTCATTTTATATAAAATTGTAAGTATTTCACAATATTATTCTATGATCCTACAAGCAATTATATAATTAATAAATTAGGTAAACCAATGTTTATTTAACAATTTCTGATATTATTTTACCATTGCCCTTAATTGTTTACTATTACAAACAAATTGCAATAGTCATGTCCGCACATATAGATTTTTTTTTTTAGACTTGTCAAGTGCAGTAGTGAGATGGTATTTTTTGGTTTTTTAAATTATTTCCTTAAGACAGATTCTTAGAGGTGAAATTCTTAGAACTATTCAAAAGGATTTTAATATTCTTATGAATCTTAATGTGTATTTATAGATTGCTTTCCAAAACACTGTATCAACTCATATTTGCTCTTAACAAAGCATGTTTCATGAAACCTTGGCAATTACTGTGTATTATCATTTCAAAAGTCCTTTAATATTAACAACTACAATGGAACTTTATTATTTTGTGTTTCTCTGACTGTTAGTGTCATTGAATATTATGGGAGGAAACCTGGAAGATGCGCCCCTCCCCTCATGACCTCATCTTCTAATATTCCTTTCCTTGTATAATTCCCTCCTGAGTGTGGGCTGGATTAACTGACTTGCTTCTTGCAGAGAATGTGGTAGACATGACATGGCAGACATAAGCTTATAGAACAGACTCCTTTCATTTTGGGAACATCAGAATCAGTCCTTTAGTAACAAGAAATATAAAGTGTCCACCAAGTTTTGTTTGTTTTTAAAGATAAAATTGTTAATTATTTAAAAGTCTAATTGCAGAAGCCGCTTACCTTTAGTGTGTCATTTCCATGACAAGTAGGAGAATTATATTGGCTTGTTTTCTGAAAACAAATTTAGAATGAACTGAAAAACCCATAGTTCAGTTTATGGGGAGCTTGATTTTAGCCATGGAAGGTCTGATTACACTGCATTCAGCGGACCACAACGTTTGGCTCAGGCCCAAGGATCAACAAGAACAATAACTTAGACTTGGTTAAAGGCTGATTTTACTTTGATTTACTCCTAAAGCAGTCAATAAGCAGGGCAAAGCTTACACACATAATAAAGATGTAGGTAGATAAATATGGCTTCCCATTGTCCCCCTCACATCTCAGGGAGGCATGCTAGAAGTTTAATTCCTCTCGTTAACCTGCCCAGATGTTGCACCCAGCTAGAGAAGTAAAGACACTCCTACCTCCAACCACACTAGCACACACTATGCCCCGCCACAGAGAGTAATAATTCTGCTACATTCTCTATGCATAATGTCCAGGTTCTGGACCTTGAAGTTCTTTCAGCGACAACACTGGGGCCATCCTCTCATCAATCCCTGTTCAACTGTCCCTCAAGTCCATTGGTTACCCCATTCACCCTGTCCCATCAAATCTGACTCCCCCACCTGATAGCAAGCATCTTAAGGTAACCACAAACCAAAAGTCTTTTTCTCTCTAGGGATACCTATACCTATTCTTTCTGGAGATACCTGTATCTATTTGATGTACATGAGAGTGTTTTGTAACTAAAAAAAAAAAAAAAAAAAATCAATAAGCATGAAGTGGTATTGGTATTGTTATATATCGTTATTTTGATTTATTCAGGTTTTGATGCTGATTTGTATAAACTTCTTCTTGTCTTAGCTTCTTCTGAAGAACTTCAGAAAATCCTATTCGATTTTAATAAGTATTATATATAATTCTTAAGAAACCTTAAGTCATTTGGAGAATACATGGAAACCAGAGTAGAAACATTACTTATCTTGAACTTAAAATTTTGAGTTTTCAGTGCATGAGGATATACTGAAGTTATTTGCTGTATAAGCCAGTCCACTGGCATAGAGTCTAATGGCCTCATCACATCCTAGATTCAGCAGAATTAAGTGTCACTGGGTTTATTTTGGCAGCCACAAACCCTGCTAGTTTCAATGAATGACAATCTTTCTTCACATCATATCCCTAAGTTCAGAAGCTCATTTCATTCACTGGACTTCTTATTTATTTTTTTTGTAAGAGTATTTAAATTTAACAAATTGCTGCATGTGATTTATTTTGAATTTAATGACAGAGCCAAAATGCCACATATAATTATGGATGTCAGTAGCAGTCAATTATTTGCCCTGATGGCTTGAGAAAGGCTGTGAAGTATAGCATAGTCTTTCTACATAATGTCCTATGAGCCTTCTCTCCCTGCCTTTGAATCAATGCTGACAAATAAAGTATCAGAATAGTAACGAATAAGAGGTCATGCTTTTGTGCCAAGCCCACCCCTTGTTCCTCATTCATGCTGATGCTAATGTGATGCAGTTTAACACAGTTCAGGAAAATTCATAAAATCAGCCTGCTGGGGAAGAACTTTGATCAAAGACAAATCACAGCACTTGAAGGGTTGGGTTAAAATAAATACTAATATGTCATATTTCCCTTTGCTATGAGTTAAAAACCAGCTTCAGCTGGTTTTTATACTCTTGGAGAAAAAACTCAGGAACAGAACAAGCAAATATGAAAAAAAAATTACCCCATCAGTGATACCACCAGTCTTAATTCTATACCGTGCAATTAGTGGGCTCCAAAATGGAATTTCAGCTCTAATCTGTTCTTTAGGACTTAAA